CGTATATATGATCTTGTCATCATTAATTTGATTTGCATTTTTCATACTTGTCTGTTGACAATCACGGGAAGTTAAATAATCAAATTGTATGTATGGTTTGTATTGTCCAAAAAACAATCAAATTTTTGGGTCATTATGCTTCATTCGTATGTATTTAATTTGTAAATTTGATGTATCAACCACAAATTAGATTTCACATGGACTTAACAAGTAACTCATTTTTCATGTAGCTTTTGGTGGGCATTTATGTTTTTTTTCAAGGATGATCTTCATTTTAGAGAGTTCTATCTGTCTTCTATAGTGGCTGCAGCTAACTCTACTTGTCAACGAATGCATTTGTTTCTCCATCTTTCCTGTCCCTCTCTCTATCTCCTCCCTTTCATTGAGGGTTTTCCCCCTCTTTTTGCAACACAGCATTATAGTTTGTTAAATAAGAAAATGGAACCGCAAAAGGAGGTTAGGAAAGCCAGGCGCCAACCAACATATTAGATCCCTCTTTAAAATGAACGTTGCAACTTTCTCTTTCAAGCGACTCACATAGAGCTTGAATTTCTGACTACGTTGTAGTCATTTTCTTTTCTTTGCAAGGAAAGTTTTAACTATTTATTTTTATGTTTGTAGGTGCATGGCCCTGGGGCAGACATTGATACACTCTGTGTGGGACCTAGACATGCAACACGTGAAGTGCGGCCAGCTTCCATTTTCCTGAATACTTGTAGTGCATTAATCATATATTCTGGTATTTTAGCTTTGTTGACTCAAGAATGCTTTCGTTGCTTGGCTGTAGGAAGACTTTTTTGGTGAGTTACATAAAATGCTGTCAGAGATGCCTGAAGTATCTGAGTTGCACCCTGTGCCTGATGCTCATGTCCCTGTCATGAAATTTAAGTTTGCCGGGGTTTCTATTGATCTTCTCTATGCGAAATTGTCACTTTGGGTTATTCCTGAAGTAAGTCATTGTATACTAGCATAATCCCATTTAAAATTATCCCTCTAATATTTCACGATTATGATGTACTGATGCCATTCCATGCTATACAACATAGGTTTAATAAAGTTTTGTAGCTAATTTGGAATTTTACTGTTAGAAAATAGATTTCTTTGTTTCCTTTTCCATGCTTGCTATATTTTCACTCTGGACTCTTATTACGTCTTCCCCTAGCCTCATTGAGGTTCATAAATGTTCTATAATCTTTGTATATTTGCCAATACCAATAGATGTTGGTATGATCTGCTCTTAATTTTTTTTATTCTGGACCAGGACTTGGATGTATCTCAGGACTCAATACTACAGAATGCAGATGAACAGACCGTTCGTAGTTTAAATGGTTGTCGCGTTACTGATCGAATTCTGCGATTAGTTCCAAATATTCAGGTTGAGGATTACAACCTGGCTAAATTTTTTCTCTATCTGAATATTAATTCATTCTTATATATTGGTTAATTTATGAAGTGCAGAGTTTCCGAACAACATTGAGATGCATGAGGTTTTGGGCTAAACGCCGAGGTGTTTATTCCAATGTATGGTACAGATGTCTACGAAAGTGTATTGCTTCTAAGTTCATGCAAAAAAATTTTACACAATCATGTGACTTTTAATTACTGTGGCCAGGTTTCTGGGTTCCTTGGTGGTATAAACTGGGCATTGCTCGTTGCTCGCATATGCCAACTATTCCCCAATGCATTGCCGAATATGCTTGTGTCCCGTTTTTTCAGGGTCTTCACCCAGTGGCGCTGGCCTAATCCAGTCATGCTGTGTAGTAATGAAGAGGGATCTCTTGGACTTCCAGTTTGGGATCCTAGGAGAAATCCAAAGGATAGATACCATTTAATGCCCATCATTACTCCTGCTTATCCTTGCATGAACTCTAGCTACAATGTTTCTTCAAGCACCTTGCGTATTATGACTGAAGAATTTCAGAGGGGACATGACATTTGTGAGGTATATATCTTCTGTAATGTTCTGCAATGACATCTTTTGTCCCCAGTTAGGGATTTGCATAACGAGTTTAATTTTATTCATGTTTCTATCTTATGTCCATTTAGTTGTTTGACCTGCTGTCATAGGTTCATTATAATTTTCGTTATCTTTAATTTAATGTCTCATCCATTAATCTATATATATTATTTTTTATAAATTACTTTTGCAAGTACAAGGGAAGTTTATAGTGGCTTATGTCATTTTCAATTTGATTGCTAGTACTCAAGATTTTTATAGGTTGGGTTCTATCTCCAATTTTTCAGTGTTGAGTGAAATATGAAACCTTGTTTATGAATTTGCTAGTGGGATTTGGTATGTTCTTAAGAAGGTGCGATTTTTAATGATCAGCCCAACTACAGTTTGGGTTTGCAATCATTTTGACATGGTAACTTCATGTTATTGACATTAGAGAGCTTTTCCTCTTTACATGTCCACGATGCAGGTTAAGTATTGTTCTGATTTTACTTTGATGGTTTTTAAATGTTGTCAGGTTATGGAAGAAAACAAGGCTGATTGGGATACGCTTTTTGAGCCTTACCCCTTCTTCGAAGCATACAAAAACTATTTACAAATAGACATTACTGCTGAAAATGCTGATGATCTAAGAAAGTGGAAAGGCTGGGTTGAATCTCGTCTCCGCCAACTGACATTGAAGGTGAAATTGTAATTTCATAGTTGTTTACTTTTGGCCTTTGTATCATTTATCAAATTTTGAACTCCTTTCTTAATTGTAAATGGAGATTGACTTGGGCTCAATTGTGATGCAGATTGAGAGACATACGTATAACAAGCTTCAGTGCCATCCACATCCAGGCGATTTTTCTGATAAATCCAGACCTTTCCACCATTGTTATTTCATGGGTTTGCAGCGAAAACAAGGAGTTCCTGCAAGTGGAGGTGAACAGTTTGATATGAGGTTGACAGTTGAGGAATTTAAACATTCTGTCAACATGTATACACTGTGGAAGCCTGGGATGGAGATATATGTATCACATGTGAAAAAGAGGAATATACCAAATTTTGTTTTCCCAGGTGGAGTCCGACCTTCGCGTGCATCAAAAGTGACATGGGATAGCAGGCGTAGTTCAGAACTAAAAGCTTCTGACAGTGCTCAAGTAGACAGGCCATTTGAAGTTGCAGAAAGTATAGATGGAGTAGATGATAGAAGGAAAAGAATGCGTCTTGATGATAATGCAAATACTAACTCGAGAAATGGAGAATGCTTGGCTGTTGTTCATTCCCACCCTGAGGAAGTTCACGAAGTCAGCCAAGTCAGCACCACTAGCTCATGTTCCATTAAGGATTTGAATTCTACTCCTACAAGTGCAAATAACTTAGAAAATCTGGCAGATGTTTCCTCTCAGAATAATGGAGATCATGGATCCATGGAAGTTGATCATTCCACAAACATTGTATCTGCAGCTGCTGATACATCAAGCTGTAAAGAAGCAGAGAAGCTGGCAATTCAAAAGATTCTGTCTGATTCATATGACTCTCATCAAGCTTTGCCTAGTGAGCTAGAAGAGCTCGACGATTTTGATTATAAAAATCAAGCTAAAGATTTTGGGGCCACTAAGCAAGGTAGCCCCTTGATGTCTTCGGTTGCCAACACATCTTCTGTGGTGCCCATGACATCTTGCAATGAAGCACGCCAGTCCTCAAGTTCATATTCCAATGGGGGCTTAGAGGAGCTTGAGGTTTTCTATACTTTAATCAAAACTTTATCTCTTTCAATTCTTCTGTACTATCATATAGCTGGTGTTCTTTTCAACTTCAATTGCAGATTACTTCTGTCTTGGTAGCGTATGCTTGTAAAGTGCTAATGGGTTGCTTGAGGGTGGTTTTATGTGTTATTTTTCTTTGTTTTTCTGTCTTGAAAATGAAGTTGTTCAAGGATAACAGGTTAACAATTAAAACATTGTAGTAAGGTTAATATTCAAGGGGAAAGTGGTTTTTTAGAGTGCTTGAAATTTTTTTTTTGATTGCCCCTCCCATTTAAAACTAGATTAACTAATAAGCTCCGTTTTCCTTGGTATCTCACTGCTTAATTTCTTATGTTAAGCCTGCTGAGCTTGTGGCGCCATCGTCAACGGGGACCGCTCCTGCACCTGTAGCTGCCCGAAAGCCAATTATCAGGTGCTTTGCTACTCTCCTATTTCTGTAGAGAAGAAGAACGGCTGACATTCGATTAAAATACTTGATAAATTTTTCTTCCCACTGTCGTTTTGATATGGGTTGCTATCTTGAACGTTCCATTTCCATAGTCTCCTCGTACTTTTTCCTTTTGGTTGTAAGTTATTACCACACACCATCATTGTCAATGTTGGCTTATTCATTCCAGTTTCTTTTCTTCCTTCAAATTGCAGGTTGAGCTTCACTTCCTTGGGCAAAGCTGGTAAAAGCTCGTAAAGAAGGGTGTCTCCAAAAGAGCTCGGGAGAGAATTCTTCTAATCTGTTATGTACCAGGCAATGTCTAGCCAATCGATTTTCTTTTGATGGAACTCTTGACCCTTAATAATACAAAAAATGGAAAAAAGAAGTCCCGAGTTTTTATGTAATATGTATAATGGGCTTGAAGGCCCTATATGTCAACAGTTCTAAATATATGTACTAGTCGGTGTATGCCTTCTATTTCTACCACATTAATGCAGATGATAGCTTATATTATGTCTTCCAAACACTTGAAAAACCAATACATCTTCCCTCTGTGATCATCTTTTGTATGTTGAGAGAGAACATGGTCATTTTCTGGATGCACATGGGTTTACATAACTGATTCCAAAACAGATTCTCTGTTCTAAAAACAATGCGTCATTTTCTCCACAAGAAGAAAGACGTATTTGGATGATATGATATTGTTATTTCATTATTGCCTGTTATCTGTTTACTTTTTTAGACTGGAGCACTTGGTCGCGTGCAAGTTGCTTGTTCTTCATCACGTGCTTCATGTTCTATGGCTACTTAAACTATTTTAATCTGTGTTTCTCTCACTTTGATGTGATTAATAATCTTATAAAATCGCTTCTTTTATTCAAACACACTTTAATTGTATGACAACAATACTACAATGGCGTGCTTGCAAAGCCCGATGGGCTCTTGGCTATTAATTATACTCTGAGAGGAAGCAAAAAGTCTTAAGAGATAGAGTTGGTACTTCGCAGGAGCTGAGTTCAAGTGGGATGGAAACGAAACATCTTGAATATGTGTTGGTTCCGCTTGGTTTTGCGGTGCTGGTGAGCTACCATCTTTGGTTGGCAGTCACCATCTACTGGAGACCGAAAAGAACAGTCATTGGAATCAACGCCGAATCCCGCCGGCAATGGGTCTCCACCATGATTTCGGTGAGTGCCTCTTCTCTCTCTCTCTTTTCTTCCATTTGGATGTTAACTCACTTCAAGAACCAACTTTTCTATGGTTTGATATCTGATTTTTTGTTTAGAGAAAGCATCTGTAAGCTAAAGAGAAAACTAGTATGAAATTCCTTTTAAGTCATGGCCATTAGATAATAATGGAAGCATTTTGAAGCTGAGAACAAGAGTTTGTTTCTTTTTCTTGATTTGTTTTCCATGTCTCGTTGATATCTTTGAGACTCTGGCAGCATTATTGTGTAGTTTTTGGGATTTTGGTTTGGCATCAACTTTCTTTATTCATTTTCATCTAAAATCATCTGCTAACCGGCATCTGTTGGATTGAGAATATTCTTTTCTCTTCAGATAAAGATTTAAGTGGTTCACTTTGTGACTAGATGAAGAATTTGAGCTATTGCTTTAAGAGTCCGCATGGATTACTTCTAAATGATGGACAATTGATTAGTTAAAAGGCTATATTGAATCAACTGATACTCACAAGGGTAGAATAGAATAGTGATGTAGTTTTGGACTCAAAAAGGTCCCTTTTTATGAGAAACTTAATGAAACTTCCATGGCTGACTAGACGACTACGAGTGATGATGTTCAGGATCCCATGAAGAATGGTGTTCTCGCAGTCCAAATCATACGAAACAACATCATGGCTTCCACACTTATGGCCATGACAACAATCACCATTGGCTCGTTGCTTAGTGCTTTTGTAAGCAGCACATCAAGTACTGGAAAGTACCATTACATTGTACTGTGTTTCCTCGTTGCATTTCTTTGCAATGTGCAGTCTATTCGATACTATGCTCATGCCAGCTTCTTAGTCACTTTGCCTGCTGGTGAAGGCAGAATGGATTATTTTGCTGGAATCTTGAACCGGGGAAGCTTATTTTGGTCACTCGGACTGCGAGCTTTCTATTTTGCAATTCCTCTCTTCCTCTGGATCCTTGGACCTCTTTCAATGTTCTTGAGTTCCTGCCTTATAACATTTGTGCTTTACTTCTTGGACTTTACTACAACTTCCAGCTATGATCCTTATGAATATCTGCAAAAGGAAGAAGTGAACAACAATGACATTGAATCTGTGGGTCAATCAAGGTGAGTACTACTGTTAGTGTCGGTGTTAATCAAGTTTTTTTTACAACTTTCATATACTTGATTGTTCTTTATCTATTTGACTTTATGATATCTGCATTCGCCATGGTTTTCTAACCGTGTGTTCTGTATTTTTTCGGGTCAGGGGAAACAACTTCGCCGTAAGCTCCCGCCTTCACTCTCCCCTACTTGCAGGTTACAGTATGACCTCCAATTGCAATGATTCTGCAGATCAAAACTGAAAATCATTTTGTTAAACCATACTCTTTTAAGCTATTGCTATTGCTGAGAATCGAGTTTGGGAAGAGAATGGATACACATTTCCTATGTTTAGAGTCCACAGGCATTGTCTGAATGTGTGCTATTTCCTCTCCCTGTCTGACTTAACTCAAAAATAGGTCGCTCGTTTGCTCCTATGGCAGGTAGGTAGCTAGTTGGAATGGAGACGGGAACTATGGACTGAGACAATCTTCTTTGATCTCTTACTTGGGAGTATATATGTTGAGTTATGTTGTGTTGACAAAGGACCGTAGAATATAAACTATGTACGGCTGTTTTATCCTATGAAATGTTACGGCTGATATTGATATCAAACTACCATTCATCTCGTCTTATAGCCATTGAGCTTGTGTGGAGTCTCCTTTAGGACGTTTTCTATCTCAACCATATCATTATAATCAAACACTTCACTACACGCTATCGCTCGAGATCTTTTGTTCATGATTGAAGAATAGTTTGAGTCCAATATTATCTAAGAAACGCAATGAATTTGCACAAGTTTATTGGTTAAAATGGAACGAGTTGAAAATGACCTTTGTTTTCTTATTCTACTAGCTTTGTCTCTCTTCACAAGAAATGGAATGGAAAGCTCGTTACCCATTTCCGTAGGAACGTAGCGGCGAGCGAAATGGGTACACTATTAAACCAAAATTGGGATTATCCGCTAAGAATTAATCTCTCCCCCGGATGAACTATATAGCCAAGAGAAACCATGAACCAAAATAGAAGGAACTAAATCGACTCGATCATCATATTATAGATTATAAGTCCATAACCTTAGCCCGCGTAATAACTCTACCAAAGGCGACCCTATTACTGGAATAGCGATAGCATCTACTATACTAGGAATATCAATGAACCCGATTATTGAAATTCAAGATCCCAACGCCGAACATAGGGTAGGCAGCTTTCTTCCCACCGTGTCCTTTTTGCTATTAGGGTCTAAAATGTTGAATGGATGCCTTGCCTAATTTGATAATAGATTAGAGAGGAACTCGGGTCCAAGTGGTTTGGGATTAATAGTGGTAAGCTTTTAGGAAAAGGGGAAACACTTTATTATTGTCATCTTAAAAAGAAAAAAAAAAACACACACACTATTATCGTACATACTTTTGAATTTTGATTAGACATTTTTACATGAAAGATCTCTTACCTCAACTTTTGTCTCGCTTTCATTTTTGTTTATTCTCGACTAGACTCTACAAGTTTAATTGCACTACAATTGTAGAGTTGATCTTGCTGATCTCGGTCCAAATTTGATCTTTCGAACGTTTCTCGCTCGGCTCTATTCAAGGATTAGCCTTTCTTTTGGTTTTTTTGGTTCTGTTCTTCAACCGTTTGAGTAGTATTGATCTATTACCTTCATTATTTTCTTCAGCTTGGCGATCATTTACAAATGCCCTTTTCGCCGCCTTGGAGCTTCACAACCACCTCTAATGGCGACCACCAACATTTTTCATTTCTCTTTACCCACCAAATCTAACCCTTCAGCTCCGCCGTTCAACACTTCTTCTCCTTACTTCCTCCTTTCATCGCCACTTTCCAGGCAAGATTTGTCTTCAATCTTTCTCAACTACGTGATCAATACCCGAATCTTTCTAACCCCTCTTCTGAACGTTTCAGGTCTGTCAAAATCATCCGATGCCTATCTGTTCACCGATCAAACGACGAGGGCACCTCTGCTTCCAACAGCACGAACGACTGCCTGCGAGTCGTCCTCGCCGCCGGAGGCACTGGCGGGCACATTTATCCAGCCATCGCCATTGCTGATGAGCTCAAACTCGCCTTCCCCACATCACAAATCCTCTTTCTAGGAACACCCAACAGCACAGAAAGCGCCGCCGTCCCCTCCGCCGGGTACGAGCTCGAAACGGTTCCGGCTACCAAACTAACTCGCCCCCGTATCTCCCCCCAAAACCTCCTCCTTCCTTTACATCTGATCAAATCCGTGGTTGCGAGTTACAAAAAACTCCACGATTTCAAACCCCACGTTGTCATCGGCACTGGTGGGTACGTCTCGTTCCCGATTTGCCTTGCTGCAAGGCTGATTCATGGGGTCAAGCTCGCAATCCAAGAACAGAACTCGGTTCCAGGATTTGCGAATTGGGTTCTTTCTCATTTTGCAGATGTGGTGTTTGTTGTATTGAACTCCACGGTTGAGTGCTTTCCAAGGAAGAAAAAGTGTTTGGTTTGTGGGAATCCAGTGAGATTGGCATTGAGACAGTATATTTCGAAGGCTGTGGCACGTTTGCATTTCTTTCCAAGATCGGGGAAAGTTGAGGATTTGGAGGCTAAGGTGGTGCTTGTTCTTGGAGGGTCTTTGGGAGCCAATGCCATTAACATAGCCATGCTGAATCTGTACTATCAGATGTTGTTAGAAAACAAGAACTTGTACATCATATGGCAGACTGGCGTGGAAACATTTGATGAAATGGACAGCCTTGTGAAGAACCATTCCCATCTGCATTTAACGCCGTAATTCCTTTGCTCAGTATTAAATTCCTCTCAACTACTCTTTTGCTCGCTGATTTTAGCTGTGCTATTTATTGATTCCAACAACCTGCATTTACCTGCCTCCCTGTTGTTTATAGTCTTGATATTGATATAAGATAACATCATCATGATATATGTTCGTTCCTAAGTTGAGGTTTGTGGCCAAAGTGAGCATAGCTCAACGTTATTAAGCATGTACTTTTTCCATTGAGATCGACGGTTTAAGTCTCTGAGGTTTAAGTCTCTGAAGTTTGAGTGTTATGATCCCCTAGAATGCATCCGTTAGACACAAATAGGCATGAAAAAGAGTGTTGTTCTTGAGAAAAGCCCAAGCCCCCCGCTAGCAGATATTGTCCTCTTTGGGTTTTTTCTTTCGGGCTTTTCCTCGAAGTTTTTAAAACGTATATGCTAGGGAGAGGTTTCCACACCCTTATAAATAATGTTTTGTTTTCCTCTCCAATCGATGTGGAATCTCACAATCCACCCCCTCCGGGGTCTAGCGTCCTCTCTGGCACTCGTTCCATTCTTCAATCGATGTGGCAGTGTCTTTGCTGGCACATCACCCGGTGTCTGGCTTTGATACCATTTGTAACAGCCCAAGCCTACCACTAGCAGATATTGTTCCCTTTTGGGCTTCCCCTCAAAGTTTTTAAAACCCGTTTGCTAGGGAGAGGTTTTCACACCCTTATAAAGAATGTTTTGTTCTCCTCCTCGATCGATGTTGGATCTCACAGTTTCTAAGATTTGATGCTGCTGAAGAGCTTTTGGAAGCTCTAGAGGGGAAAAAATAAAGAACTTCATAGTCGAGCATCTAAATGTATGCTAGAATTGAAGTGCAAGTGTTTGATATAAATCTAGGCAAAGAATAAGAATGAGCATGACAACAACATGGTGGCTCCATGTTCATATTATTACACCCGTATAAATGGCTTGTATTGCAACTATGTCGAAATACGTCTCGACAAATTTATCTTTTCATCGTGCTGGTATGGAAGCAACGTCCCATATCTATGAATCATACATGGAAGTGTATCGAATGATACGGCCTTCCTTGCTTGATGAATATTGTTGATCTCTCATATTGATACTTAAAGCAGCATAATCTTATGATGCATGTAATATATCTTACTTTGAGATTAAGTGATGTTTTTTTTTTTCTTTTTGTATTGTTTAAGGTTCATGCATTCTCTGCATTTGGCATATGCAGCTGCAGATCTGGTTGTTTCTAGAGCAGGGGCCATGACTTGCTCTGAGATCCTAGCTACTGGAAAGCCTTCTATATTGGTACAAATTTCAAGCTCTTTTTTTGTGTATATAAGCTTCTGAGTTTTGTTCATTCTTTGAAGGAAACCTTATATTTTGACCCTTTTTAACTTCAGATACCCTCACCATATGAAGATGAGGGGCATCAGTTCAGAAATGCTTCAATAATGGCTGACATGGCTGGTTCAACCGTCATCAATGAAGATGAACTAGATTCAACTACGCTTGCGATTGCAATTCAAGAGATATTGGGTATGTTGAGTATGCTCTATGAATCAAATCATTTCTTATTACAATGAAACGCATGCTTTAATTTGCTTGTGATCGTCACACGAGAGGCTCTCCCTCAAAGTTTTAAAACACGTATGTTAGGGAGGGGTCCACACCCTTATAAGGAATGTTTTGTTCCCCTCTTCAACCGATGTGGGATCTCACAATCCACCCCCTTTGGGGCCCTACGTCCTCGCTGACACACCGCCTGGTGTTTGGTTCTTATACCATTTGTAACCGCTCAAGCTCACTGTTAACAGATATTGTTCTCTTTGGGCTTTTCCTTTAGGGGCTTCCCCTCACGGTTTTAAAACGCGTATTGCTAGGGATAAGTTTTCACACCCTTATGAGGAATGCTTTGTTCCTCTTTTCAACCGACGTAGGATCTCACATGAAATGTCACGAGTTACAAACCTTCTTGATACCATCTTTCTGTGATGCAAGATTAGTACTCTCAATTTTGAGCACGCGAACGGTTTATTGGCATGTTTGTGTGAACATCATATGCATTGTATAGCATGCTACTTTAGGTCATATTTCTTATCGATGATTATGGCAACATCGACCATCTTTTACAAGAAGTTCGAACGAACAATTTAGACAAGAGTTTGTCCTTAAACTGAAGAAAACTCTATGCAGTAACCAATATAAGATATAGTTATGTGTTATGCCTCATTTCATTAGCTTTTTGGTGATCACTTCTGCTCCTCTTCATTGAAAGAGGCCATGATCGAGTGGCGTATATCGTAAAAACCAACATCTACTTGAGATCTCACTGTATGAGTATATATTTGTTACAGGTGATGAGAGTAAAATGGCAGCTCTGTCCGAGAGAGCATTGAGAGTATCAAAACCAAATGCCGCTGCTGAAATTGTTCAACACATTGGAAACTTAATAAGATGAAAGAATTTTACGATCAACATCGGTTAGTTGCAAATCATATGGGTTTCGTCACTTTCGAACTTATTTTTTCATTGTAACGAATCTTCAGAACCAATTTAATTGTCTCTATACTTCCAATAAGATACCGATTTAATTTTTAAATTTTAGTATATTATGAGTTAGTTAATCCTTATTAAAAAAGGAAATGTCTTTATAAATGGTTAGCAGCCAAAATAAAGGAAACAGCATGTGGGTTAGTTAAATCATCATCTCTTATACTTTAATGAGGCTTGCTTATTGAATTGAATGCCACCAAATTGCTCTTTTTTATGGTAAAAATTAAATTATTACCTTTATGTTTAGGTTACTAACTCTACTATTTAACCTGAAATTAAAGAAAAGAAAAGAAATGTCCCAGTAATAAAAAAAATTTAACCTAGTAAGTAAAAGAAAATATGGCCAAAAATAGAGAGACAGAGAATTTATTTATTATTATTTATTTTAATAATTTTAAAGGATAATGTTAATTACCAAATGGATATTGTCCAAGCAGGTCAGCGCTGAAGTAGGGCCCACCGTCAACGTGAAAAAGTCAAAACTTGGTCAAGTAGGACCCACTGAGATGTGTGAATTACGGGTCACGGCAAATTCATGGCCAAATCCCCAACTGCTCGACGTAACTTCGCCTTCACCAAGTTTTGTGTTTTTTCTTCTTTCCTTCTCCAAAAATCAAAGCCTGTCATTTTGTTTCTTTGTAATTACCCACAAGCAATAACCTCTCTTCCATTTTATACTTCACCCTCCGATTCTCTCAAACGCAGAGAGATTATGGCGACCCTTTCGTTATCCTGTTTCGGTCTCTCTTCCGTCGGCCGGAGCGACAATCGCCGCCGTCACCTCCACCGATTCAGGCGACAAGGGAAATCAGAAGCCTCGTGGGCCTTATGCCGGCGGAATATGGTCGCTGTTAAGTCCGTCACAGCGTTTTACGGTGGCGACAAGGAGAAGGGTAAAATCTGTACTGCCGACGAGCTTCATTACGTCTCTGTTCCCAACTCTGATTGGAAGCTCGCTCTCTGGCGGTACAACCCTCCTCTTCAGGTTCTACTCCGATCATACAAATTAATTTGGTTTTGTTTCTTCTGTAATCCCTAAAATCTTTGAGTGAACATGTTGATTGGTGTGTTCGAGACGTGGGTAGAACATGGGGTTTCTAATTGTAAGATTGTTTGTTTTCTTTTGCAAACAAGGCGGCATCCAGAAATCATCCGCTTCTGCTGTTGTCAGGGGTTGGGAGCAACGCTCTTGGATATGACCTTTCTCCACAGGTGAGCCACCATCGATATCAGTTCTTCTTTCTTTTCCTATCTTGTTTTGTTCTTTGGATCTTTTCATTTTCTGCTGCCGTGAGACAAATCTCGATCACGAGACTTATAACACCATTGTAATAGCCCAAACCCACCGCTAGGCTTTCCCTTCCCGAATAGACCCCCCTTGTATCTGGCTCTGATACCATTTATAACGCTAGTGGATATTGTACTATGTGGGCTTTTCCTTCCGAGCTTTCCCTCAAGGTTTTAATACTAGAGGTTTCCACGCCCTTGTAAAGAATGTTTCGTTCCCCTCCCCCAACCAATGTGAGATCTCACAACCATAGTCTATAACATTTGATACTAGAAATGTAGAACGTTAAACCGAGCATTCCAAATGGGAAGGTGGACAAATGTTCAACAAAACCATCCTTAATTTTAGGTTCTTATGTCTATTTACAATGTAATATTTTCAGTCCTCATTTGCTCGCTACATGTCGAACCAAGGATACGACACTTGGATTCTTGAGGTTCGAGGGTCGGGACTGAGCACTCACAGAGTAGAAAGGAAGGATACTACTGGTCAGATAAGGTCAGAAACTCCGGAGAAACAGCCATTAGCTAAGATTGGTACATATTCCAGTTCTGAGGGTTCCAGCATTTCTTCAAAACATGGTCTGTCGGGAACTTGTAACTTTAGGTATTATGGGATTTAAGTACTTGAGACAACATTTTTAGTACTTTCCGAACTTGTTACAGGACAGGAATCTACCATTGCTACTCAACTTGGGAACTGGAATAAGAATCTTATCAATATCATTGAAGGAGCTCAACAACTGGGTCCATTGAAGCCTTTTAATTTACAAGGTGTTACCTCTGCATTAGAAGACTTCCAGGAACAACTTGATGTGTATGAGAAGTATGACTGGGACTTCGACCACTACTTGGAAGAAGATGTACCCGCTGCGGTGAGGTGCATATTCTTTTTCGAATCACTGAAATTAATACTCCTTCGAACACCTCATCAAAGGAAAATCTCGATTTTTCATGCTAGATGGAGTACATAAGGAACCAATCCAAACCGAACGATGGCAAGTTACTAGCTATCGGCCACTCGATGGGGGGTATCTTGCTATATGCAAGGATCTCGAGCTGTAGTGAGTTTGACATGACATGCTGTTCTTTTATCCCAACTAATTTGATAATCTTGACAATCCATTATGAACCTTGATCCCAACTAATTCTTCTTTTTCAGGCTTTAACAAAGTCGACCCGCAGTTGGCATCAGTCGTTACGTTGGCTTCATCGCTCGACTACAGACCTTCAAACTCATCACTCAGGCTTCTGTTACCTTTGGCAAGTGATTCTAAAATGTTTTCTTCCTAAAATGTGACCATCGAACTAAAAGACATATCCAACTTCAATGCAGAGAGATCCCGCACAAGCTTTTAATGTTCCCGTGTTTCCCATCGGACCATTGCTTGCTATCGCTCATCCTCTTGCATCCCGTCCTCCTTATCTCCTGTATTGGCTAAAGGATCAAATCTCTGTAGAAGACATGTTAGATCCCACCTTGCTCGAGAAACTGGTGTTGAATGGCTTTGGTGAAATACTATTCCTTTTGTCCATGTTTCTGTGAACTCTACACTCCTTGTTCATAACATTGATGATACGTTTTTCAGAATCTGTGCCGGCAAAGGTTCTCCTGCAGCTATCATCAGTTTTCGAAGAGGGGGGCTTACGTGACAGGAACGGGACGTTCCAGTACAACGACCATCTACGCCAAACCAATGTTCCAATCCTTGCAATTGCTGGAGACCAAGATCCCATTTGTCCACCTGAAGCGGTATACGGTATGATATCTAAATATAATACCCGAGCGCCATGCCTTCCTCTCTGATTCTATTCACCACACCTCATTGACTCCAATCTTTTTCGACGCTGATATCAGAAACTGTGAAAGGAATTCCCAGGGAGTTTGTTTCCTACAGAGTTCTTGGGAAGCCTGGTGGTCCTCATTATTCTCACTATGATCTTGTGGGAAGTCGTTTGGTATGGTTTTTCTCCTTCACAGGCACTTTTTAAGAACGACTTTGATTTACAAACTTCTCTAATTTCTAAATTCATCGTTATTGAACGCAGGCATCGAGTGAAGTGTATCCGTTGATAACTGATTTTCTCAACCGTCATGATGTGGCTTGATTTCACCATACTATTCTACTATTCAACTCCGCTAGGTATATACATTCGTCGGTAGATATCAGGAACAGTAGAATACGTATAGCTTCCGCGATAGAATATACACAGATTTCCTTCCTAAGTTCCACTGTATACACAATTGACAGACATACAACCCTGTGGGGGATAGTTTCTGAAGTAGATTACTGGATTCAGAAGTTCTAGGTTGTGTTATTTGATATCTGGAAATATTTCTTCAGTGAAACAGAGTTTTGTCGCTTTTTTAGTTTTATTCACTCCGACCCGACTCGATTCATATAAGAATGAAGCTATCATAAAATGATCATTTGATTCGAATCATGAACTCAATCATCAGAGGCAGAGCTATGCCATAATGAAAACAGATTACAACAAGGAAGCCATTGTAATTTGATGTCTTACAGCTATGCAATCAAGAAAGGAAGTTTCACACAAATGAAAGAATGCTTTTGGTGATGTAAAAAGGCAATGAAATCTGTACACCACATAGGGGAGAAAGCAAGCAAGCAGAGTCGAAGAAACGCTAGACGTGATGGACTAACCGTTCAGCCTCGGCCTACCGCTGCGGTCTTACAGACTGGGCATGTATTCTTCTGTGCGAGCCACTGCTTTATACAGTGTATGTGATAGCTGTGCCCGCATCCCAGCCTACCCATTTCATCGTCTGGTTCATAGTCCTCCTGCTAGTACAAAATCATTTTAGGTGTCAAGAAAGTGCTAATCAGAGCTAGCAAACTAAACTCTGCTACTTCACCTGACAGATGCTGCACTTTCGATCCATTTGAGATAGTAAATAAGATGATAGCTCATTTACAACAAGGGGCTTTGTTTTCCGAATGCATCTTCCAATCTCGTCTTCTTTCAGCCCGGTACTCACATGGCCTATCCTTTCACCGAGTTCGAGCAGTTCCTGTTTCCATCCCGTTATAAGAAATATTTGTGAGTAGAGAGTATCAGTCTAGGAAGAAGGATTTGGAGAAAGTTATGAACCTCATACGACATGTCATCAACGTCGAGTCGTAATTCCCTAAATTGATCACGTATATCGAACCTTCCACCCATCAGCAAACTGCTCTGGAACATCATAATCTGCTAAATAACATATCAAGTGAGCAAATCAGTCTCATATGATCGTTAGTACATAGAAAGAACATCATAATCTGAAAACATTTCCAGCTCAGAATTAAGGAACAACTCTGTCAAGAAAACCAAACACTCCAAATCAAAAACATGTTCCAACAAAACAGGTTAAAACTTGAAAGCAAGTTTGCTTTGCTTCTTTGAAGCTGCATTTTCTAATGCCATCTGCCAAACATCTAAAAATGCACAATACTCTAATTCACCAAATATCAGAATCTTCCAAGACATCAAATGACATATGCCAAACTATTTCAGGCCATCAAGAACTGAAAAACAAAACATAAGCCAGAACCCAATTGAAGCTTATATCTTTAGAACTCGGACACTGTAACAATCCAAATCCACCACTTGTAGATATTGTCCGATTTGACCCGTTACGTATCGCCATCAGCCTCACGGTTTTAAAACACATCTGTTTGGGAGAGGTTTCCACCCCCTTACAAGGAATATGTCGTTCTCCTCTCCAATCGATGCGGGATCTCAAAATTTGTGAAAACCTCTCCCTAGTAGACACGTTTTGAAACCGTGAGGCGGATGGCAATATATAATGGGCCAAAGCAGATAATATCGGCTAGCGGTGGGATTGGACAGTTACAAATGGTATCAGAGCCAGACACTGGGTGGTGTGAATTGTGAAATCCTACATCAATTGGAGAAGGAAACGAATCACTCCTTATAAGAGCATAGAAACTTTTCCCTAATAGACATGTTTTAAAATCGTGAGGCTAACAGCACTACGTATAGGACCAAAACGGACAATATCTGCTAGCAGTGGACTTAGGCGGTTAAAGACACAATTGTACAACCTATAAAACAGATCCGGTTCGAGTAAGATATTCATGAAATTGAATACAAATATGAACGCTTACCTCAGCAAGCCCATCAGGGGATGGATGTCGAACATGGCGATAATATCGACTCCGAGAAACTTCCAGTGATCGAGCTGTTGGAAGATCAGAATCAGACTCCAAAAGTA